CCCTATTCTCCATCAAACACAAATATAAAAACTTCCATGATGGTAATAGGAAATTGTTTACTCTGGGCAAAATAGGCCCATTACATTTAAGGAAAGAAGTTAAAATTATTTCAACTTTTTGAAAGAACTGTGTATTTAGATTTCCACGTGTGGCTAAATTTCTAAACTTCACAAAGAATATGTCCCATATATCAAGCAGTTATTATTCAGTCCAAAATTTTTAAAAAATAAGGAAACAACTTATTAAATTAGATATAAATCTGCGTATCTATGGAACAGTACTATGAATCAGTGCATAGGCACAGCTAGGCCATTGAAAATGGTACAAGTATCAGACATGGGAAATGAATTAGATATGCTTTGGTACTAACATATATTAATTGCATTTTCCTATTTTGTTAATGCTTCAGAGTAAGACATTTATGTACCTTTTAGGCAGGTATGTTTGTAAATTATTGCAAATAACAAGTCCTTTTTGGTTTACTGAATTAAGTATTATCATTTACTAGAAAATTCGAATAAGCCATAAGGATCCCTATTGGGAGCAAATAAGTGAAAGTTTCTATTTGCTTCCATTGTCATGTCAGTCCCAGATAATGGCTCCATTTACCAACTTTTTACCCAAAATTCAATGTGGGCTCCATCACAATGGACAGGATGCTGTCATCTGAGTATGAGAACTGGATTATACTTAAAATATCATGTTGAGGTTCAAATAAAATACTTTTTCATTTCTTCTTCTCATCCTAGGAACCTGTCATAATTCCCAAATAGCACTGATGCAGAATATCTCAGAAGTGATGGAATTTATTCTACTGGGGTTAACAGATACCCCAGAGCTACAGGTCCCTTTGTTTGTCATCTTTACTTTCATTTATTTGATCACACTGATTTGGAATCTTGGAATGTTGGTGTTGATTCTGCTGGACTCACAACTCCATACGCCCATGTACTTTTTTCTCAGTAATCTCTCCTTTGTGGACTGTGTTTATGCTTCAGCTGTCACTCCCAAGGTAATAGATGGGTTTCTCATAGGAAATAGGATCATATCTTATAATGCATGTGCTGCCCAGATGTTCTTTTTTGCAGCCTTTGCTACTATTGAAAGTTTCATCCTGGCATCAATGGCCTTTGACCGTCATGCAGCAGTGTGCAAACCCTTGCATTACTCCACCACTATGACTACTACAATGTGTACTCTGCTTGTTGCTGGTTCTTACATAAATGGAATCTTGCAATCCTCCATCCATGTGTCCCTCACTTTCCAACTTTCCTTCTGTCATTCCAATGTGGTGAATCACTTTTTCTGTGATATTCCCCCTCTACTTGCTCTTTCTTGCTCTGGTATCTACACAAATGAAATTGTGCTGTTCCTGTTAGCAGCATTCAATGTCACTTTTACTTTATTGGTTATCTTTACCTCTTACCTATTTATTTTTGTTGCAATTCTGAGGATGCATTCTGCTGAGGGCTGAAAGAAGGCCATCTCTACCTGTGCATCCCACCTCACCACTGTTTCCATCTTCTATGGCACAATTATCTTCATGTACTTACAGCCCAGCTCCAGTCATTCTATGGACACTGACAAATTGGCATCTGTATTCTATACTATGGTCATCCCCATGCTGAACCCTCTTGTTTATAGCCTTAGGAATAAAGACGTCAAGATTGCATTCAAGAAAGTTTCTGGAAAAGCATTAACTTCACTGGGATTAGTGAATTTACTGTAACATATTTGAAAATGATGTAAATTTACAAGTTATGGTCTCTCTCTCTCTCTCTACATAT